CACCGGTTGACCTAGGACCATAAAATCGGGTATCGATCTCTGCGTCCCGTAACGGCGCACACGCTCGTTTTACCGCGACGCGCTAGCTCCACCTGGGGCGAAACGGCGAGGGGGGTCGTACCCGCCCCCCGCCCCCTCGGCCAGCGCGTATGTAGAAAACCTATAGGACCGGGCCGTGGAGGGTTAAACTGGCCTCTGAAGGCCCAGACCGTCTAAAAGTCTCACACCGGCCTCTAATAAGTGATAGTCAATCAGCCCAGTTGCAGTGGTCGCTGATATAAAACCTCTTAAAAACGTTATAGGCCTGGCTGAGCCTAGCTGGGCCGTTCATGTTGATTTTTATAGGTATATTGAAAAGACTCGCTTTGCACGTTTCACGCTTGCTCGTAATGAAAAAGTTGCTGGATGCCTCTGGAATTTGCATGGGTGCCAACGGCTGCGGAGGACAGGGGAACGCGTCCATCAGTTTGAGTTTATGGACGGGAGACTCCCTGAAATTTCAACCAATTTTTTTCTTTTTTGTCTCGATTTTTTTTTTACCTCTTAGCATGTTTGCGAAAACAAAGTGGCCAAAATCCGAGGAGAAATCGGATTTTGGGGGTAGGTTAGGTTTTGGACCTCTGGGACCCTGGCCCCCCCTCACTTTCGAAAACGTTCCTACGCCTATGCACGGGGTTATGTACCTGGTACCCCTAGGTCATGAATATGGTTATGGTCACCATAAATATCCGAGAGCTGCCTTTCCCGGGCAGCTGCCACACAAATCATTGTTATCTTTTCCGGAAGGAAAACATGCAATTTAATATAAAGCATAACCATTAGGATAACTAAATGGCTTTGGAATATTAAAATGTAATGCAATATTACGATATCTAAAATCGTGCAGAATTTTTAGTGATTATTACCTATGCTATTTCGTATTATTCTTATTGTTTCATTATTATACTCGTATTGTATTGGGCTGGTGAAGAGGGACCAGAGGTGACGAGAAAACTTTCCTCGTGTAATCCTCGTGCTCGTGCTCGTGTAAAGCTCGTGTTCGAAAGCTGGTGAATTATACACGAGGAACTTAGGAAGTTAATTTTAGGGGTGAATGAATTATTTGACTGAATCACCGGGGATAGGTTATTGAAGACGAAATGTGAGAAACTGATGACAGTGAGTGTATTAAACTAGACGTATGTTCAGAGTTTGTTGGTGCTTTTCATTTCATATTTTTCAAAAGATGAATTACTTAGTCGTTAATTACAATCCTAGTTCAGCTTTCAAAATGAAATCAAACAAAATCACCCGCCCTAAGTGTATGTACGCGAACATTCAACCACAGTCCCCATGGCCCTGTTTCACCGGTGATAGCAGCACGCTGCTATCCCATTTCGCGAGCTGACGTCACACTTCTGGTAGTGTTGGAGGAATAGGCTTGTTGACGTCTCCATGGAAACCCAATTTGACACGTGTAATAGCAGCGTGCTGCTATCACCGGTGAAACAGGGCTCAGGTTACTCCGTTTCGCCCACTGCATGTACCGTCACCCGTCCCAGCACCTGTCCCAATCCCAGCACCACTCGCCTCCTTAACCCATCACCAGTTCACCAGTCCGTCAGTCCACCAGTTCGTCGGAACGCCAGTCCGTCGGTCTACCAGTTCGTCGGTCCGTCGGTCCGTCGGTCCGTCGGTCCGTCGGTCCGTCGGTCCGTCGGTACGCCAGTCCGTCAGTCCGTCAGTTCGTCAGTCCGTCGGTCCATAACCCGCAGTCCGCTAGTCCGCCAGTCGGCCAGTCCGTCAGTCCGTCGGCCCGTCGGTCCGTCGGTCCGTCGATCCGTCGGTCCACCTGTCCGTCGGTCCGTCGGTCCGTCCATCACGCTATGGCCTGACAAGTGGCCATTTAGGGCGTCACTGAGCGCCCGTTAGCACTAATGGCACCGCCGAAGAGCCCGTTACAATGGTAATGACAGCACAAACCCACATACCTACTGAAACTGCTTCGGCACTGATGATGGAAGCTCGAACTTCTGAAACTGAAAGCACAGAGTGGTTTGGTCGAAACCGCAGTCATGATGGTCAGGGGCGCGGGAACTACTTTCCGACTGGGGGGGCACACCATAATAGAGATTAACCTAGGGTACCCCCAAATCTAGTTTTCTCACCGGTTTTAGGCCACTTATTTTTCACCCCTCGGCTTTTTCAACAAAAAAAGAAAACATTTGCAAAAAAAAGTGTGGTATTCCGTCTCAAAGCTGTGGGGGCACCGCCCCCACGGCCCCAGAGTTGGGGGGGGGCAAGCTGCCCCCACTGCCCCCCCGGCTCCCGCGCCTATGATGATGGTTGAAAACAAGCTTCATATATGATGGAAAGAGATGTTCAACTTGCTGAACAAACCCCCGAAACACATTATTGTTTACGGAATATGACATCACTCTCTGCACCTGAACAGTCTCTGTCATCTTTCGGAAATTTCAGGACGGCGTGCACAATCATTTTAGTTAGGGATTGAAGAAGCACTTCAAAGTTCAAAGTGAATGTAAAACTTTTAGTAATGGTGAAACTACATAGAATGAGTCGGCCTTAGCATATCTAACTCATAAGAAGAATCAAATAATATCAATGTAACAGACATTCTCCTCAAATGATTTGTTAACTTCTTCATACTTGTACTGTCTTTTAATTCCGTATCTTTTTAATGATTGGACGAGCTTTCAACATTTAAACGGTTTGCGTTAAACCAAGCTGTTATCCGCCCCGGTCTTATTTGCAGCAGTTGCTCATTTCGTCGTACATACCATCGATTACTTGCTTTGATTTGAATGCATCTCCCTCTTACATTATAAATGATAACTTTAGGTTGGTGTCTTAGTATGTAAATTAAACAGGACGGGCCCAATCGTAGGCTTCCACCTTTCCCTCTGCATACGTCGCTAGCTTCAAATGCACACATATATCATCCGTGTTTCATAATCCCATCCAGACATCATCAACGCCTTTTCCTCTTCCTCGCCCATTACATCTGCACAAACCACCACCTCCAGACGCCAGACGGCAGAGGTCGGCGCAGCACATTCTCATCAGTCTGGGGATTGAGCCATCACTCGACCCCGGCCCCCAGCGCCAGACAGACCGGGCGGCGTCGCACTCTTGGGGAGGGTGATTTTTCACCGGCACCGGCGCCGGCTGAGCCCGCGGATAGTGGATGGAGGTGTTGTGAGCCACATTGGCGCGCGCGGCGGGTCGGCGGGCGCAGAGGGCACTTATCACGGGGTTTCGACGACGTATGAGTCGGGGTGGGAAGGTGAGGGCGCGGGCTCTGGAGAAATGGAGTTGTGGAGAGTGCTGAAAGACAGACAGACAGAATGGTAGAAGGGCAGACAAGTAGACAGATGAAGCCCTGGCCCAAGTGGTTCAGGTTTCCGTAATCGCTGGAAATGCTTTACGACCCGCGGTGGGCTGTCGCCTGTCACAAACGGCTTTCATCATCAGTTCGTGATCATGCTCGGCCGTGAACTCAAACCACGTACACGATGTGATCATCCGTCGAGGACTCATTCACAGCAGAGTCCAGATGTGCTGGAAATTCCCGGTCTTCAGATCAAACATCAACAGTTGAATGTATGAGCCTTTGCAGAACATGTCTTTTTCTTTAGGTTCTCAGAAAAAGGGATAGGTCAATGACTGTCACTGAATGATTGTCACTTGAAAAACTGGGATTATTTTGCAATATTTTGGTATTACGATAGTCTTCGATAGAATTGCTAATGTGACGTCGTCTAATGACGCACGTCTGTTCGAATCAATGTTGATCTGGTTTGCGTCACAATGAAATCGGCACCGAACCGCCCCTAACAATCATATTCGACGTACGTTTCGCGTTCGACGCCTCACTGCAATAACATGCACAAAATGACAACATTCTAGGGTACTTCTTGGAACAACCCCGCCTGTGGCTGGCACGACTGGCATAAATGCCACTGTTTTCTACCGAATCCGCCCGTATATACGAGGCGAAGCCCCCCTGCCAGCCGGCGCCAATCCTAAGAATGCAGGTCGGTCGCAAAACCCTGCATTTACTATTGATCAAAAGGCCGACTTGACGTAAAAGCCGCAACTGATAGTGACATTGGATGGCACAATGATAGGACGGAACAGTAAAGGTATTTATAAGCGTACACTTTTTTCGAGTGGGCGGAAGCATGAAGCAGGGTTAATTATCCTTTGGATGTGAGATCATACATATGTCCTGTATTGGTGAGCAGCTGATACGTGTATGCCCATCCACAAAATAAGCACTTGCGCTGGATAGGTAGCATTTTGCACCGCGGCACGCCCCCAGCATTTACACGCCAGCGACCATTTAATTGCGATTTGCTGATAAGCTGAATTAAACATTTTACCGTGTGCAAATATTTCACCGGATCTTTATTGACCAAATGAATTTACCTATCATGCTTCCACTGAGAATTCTGATAATGGATTTGCACTTCTGCATTGTCACCTGTGTCACAAAGCTCACGCCTAAACGTATTCTATCTTTCACGCTGTGGCGATACGAGTCCCAGCGTTCGCACATTTTCCTGATGGGCGTTGCCGTCGACTACCCACGCGGAACACGATATAAAATCCACGGCGTTGCTCCTCTCTTCCCATTCGTCCTGTCTCATCCCACCGTTTCCCACGGTCTTAGTGACCGCCCTATCCGGGAGCCAGCATCCCCTGGAGCTAGTTTGTCAGAGGACGTAGTTAGGCGGCGCCGACCGAGGCGTGGGAGGGACACCTGGCTCAGCTCCACGCCCACTGACGGCACCCGGCTAAAATCCGGCTGAAGCTGCCCCAACTTGTGCATCACCGGATCTACTGAGTACCCGGCGAGAAGTTGAGAACCTCCAAGCACCGCATGAGAACCGTTCGACCAAAAGGTGAGAACCAGCTGACCCTATACCGCACTTCTGCGTAAATGCCACCTCAGACATTCAATATTAACTGTAGACCTCCGACCAAAGCTCCACGGCAAAGACCTATGTGCGTATATTTACGTGAATTAGTTGGCCACTAAGTAGCATTGCGCCGCGCTATACACGAGAAAGCTGCATTGCGCCACATTACCAAAGACCGGCAGGCGCAGCACCCCGTTTCTAGAGGGATGCTCGTGCGACTGGGCGGCGCCCCGATGCCCCGGTATGAAATCCCCACACAGCACACTGGCGGGCGCCCGGCCACCCCTCGTCACACACGCGTCACGCTCGTCACAGGTGTCACAGGGGGCAGCGCCGCCGGTTATCACCGTCCCTTCCCGCGCCCCCTACAGCTGCGGGCGCCCCGTAACGGCAGCACAGGTGCGGGGGCTTCCCATCCGGGGAACACATCCCTCTGCAGACCTACTCTCTCCCAGACGGAGACTTCCTAGCCCGACTGGTGCTCCCTCCCCTGGTTACACACAGACACACGGATGACCCGGCGTTGGGAAGGTCGGCAGAAGACCGCCGTAGAGCTCGTTCGGTGTCTGCCAGTACCGGACATTGCCAGTAGACAGGGCAGGCGGATCACTGCAGCGGCGCCACGCCCGAGCCGGGGTAGTTACCGACGGGCACCACACGGCCGCCCAGTACCACCTGAAACACGCGCAGGAGTCAGATGGGCCGCGGGTCAACATGGTCATTGGTCAGTGAGTGAGGTCTGAAGGAAGACATGTCACACCGAGAGACCCATACGTATCATTAGCATCGAGAACACCCGTAAGGCCAGCGTGGAACCCGACCTTGGCTACCCTACTGCACATAATTTATCCAACTGATCGTTCTAACTTATACCCAGTCCGCCCGGCGACCACAGCGGTCTATAAAATCCAACACCCATTCAGTGTATGCTTTTCAGTGGTCTGTCGTTTATCGTTCGCATAATTAACAGCCTTAAATCTCAGACAGCTCAGCCAAGTTCACAAAGCTGGTCAAAAGTCCACGAAGCTCAGTCCATTCCGCAAAACTGGTCCACAGTCCACACAATTCGCCCACATCCCACACAGTTGGTCCACAGTCCACAGTCCCGTCCCCCCCCCCCTACCAGCCGCGCGTCTCCCCGGCCGCAGCTGGTCGGACCCAGCGCTCCATTTCACGGCCCATAAACACACGGTGGCCGTCCACCAGTCAGTGTCACCCGGAGCCGACAAAAGGGCCGACCGACCGGGGCAGCTCGGATGGACGGCTGGACGGGATGAATGCTGAAATTGGTCCGTCTGTGACCTGGACATAGGTGAATGGAGCCACGTACTGAAGCGGGGTCAGGGCAATCAGAGCAATATCCAGACAAAAGACCGGGCGGGAAGTACGTCCATCATTAGAACTACAATAACTACATATCTTCAAAAGTTTGTGTCTCTTAATTTTGATCAGGACCGTTTGCCTGATAATAAGTTCAAATCCACCTATAAAGGTTTCCCAGTGAATCGTAACTTAGTAGGCCTGTTGACAGATTTGGACCTCTAAACATATTCTGCTCCGTTCAATTCTCAGGACCGCCATCATTACCTATACCATGCCTTCAGTTCCAGACAGAACATGCACCAGACTAGGTCAGACCGCCCAGCTCTGTCATCTTCCGGCTTCTCTTCCAAGATCCATTTCCCGTTTCCGCCTCATCCTTATGCGCAGCACTGCTCTTGGCCCCATCCGTCTCCCTAATCCGATCATACAAGTCTCACATTGGACCTCGTGCCTTTCTCCAGAGCCCGCACGTTTCGACTCAGACCCCAGCATGTGTGTCTCGCCCAAGCCCCACCTGCAAACACATGCCTCAACTCCGACATGTCTCACTTAAGCTCCGCATGTCCCCCTATCGCCCTATTACATCTAATCTGTGATCCTATCTCCTCAGCTCTAATGTGTCTCATATGTAATCCCATCGCAGGTCTCACCACCGTTGTCCTTTCAATGTAACTAAAAAATATCAGTATGAGCGGCCCGACCCGACCCAGCCTGTGTAACGCTTTTGAGAGACTTACATCTAAGCAACGGCTAGGCCGACTGACTTGCGGTCTTTTCCGTTGGGTAGTTCCATCTCTTCTACCTCGTAACTGACTACTTAGGTGACCATCGCGACGTGTGCCACGTGAAAAGTCAGGGGTGTCCTAAGTTGTTCTGCTGAAATAGCGATTTTGAGAGACCTATATCTCAGCAACCGCTGGGACGATTAACTTGCAGTAATTTTCAAAGGGTAGCTGATCTCTCCTAACAAAAATAAAATACTCTCGAGTATCGATGCATGTGGGTGACCCCCATTGCACGTGCAAAATGCAGTTGAAGAGGTGTCAAGTTTGTTCCCATGCATGTATTTATAAAGAGCCCGTCTCATCGACTCACACACCGTTTCACCACCATCTCACCTAATAGTCTCACCGCCCCTACTAAACGTCTCACAGTCTCACCTGCGGGCCGGTATAGTAGCGGAAGAAGATGGATCCTCCGCGTTTGAGCTGGTTGCCGGCGCTGAGGTCCCGCCAGCAGTCCACCCAGGAGGAGTAGTGCGGCATGTACGGCGGCGAGCCGGCCACCAGACTGACGGGACAGAGGAGGTGAATTAATACGGTCAGTAGTAGGGCATGTAAGGCGGCGAGCCAGCCACCAGACTGATGGAGGGGGGGGGGGGGATATACGGTTAGAAGTGTGGCATGTACAGTATATCTAAAAAGTATGTCCCCTGGTTTGGCTCTCCCACAGGAGGCGAATCGGTAACTTGGCTGAATCCCAGTTGCGGCATCCGGCCGCCAGGGTCGCTGCCGCGCGAGCGGCCTTGACCGCTCGCATGTCATTGGCAGTTCGGTCCCTCCCCATCTATACCGAGGTGGGGAGGGGAGAAGAGGGGAAGAGAGGGGAGGGAGCGGCATCCGCTCGGCACTTGGCGATACCTGGCTGACCCCGCGCTCCCTCGCTGACCTTTGTCCTGCCCTCAGGCGAAGCCCGACTTCCTGGCCTGTAGCGGCCCAGCGGAAAAGCGAGCTCGCGGGGCGCGACTCCATTGGCCCAATCTTATAAATGGAATGCTGTCGTATTGACGGCATTAGATAATATTAATAGTGATACCAGCAGTGGATGTGGTAAAATACAGTCCAAAATAAACGAAAGCACACGATTCGTGCATAATGCGCCCTCCCATTCAAATAAACCCGCCCACTTCGATAGATGGTGTAGTTTCTTAGGGCGTAAAAGATGCAAAACACTACCGATTTTTTTTTTTAGCTCGGCCACATGGGACCGACAATATACAATTGACTGAAATGCATGAAAACCATTTTGCATGTAGGTAATAGCCGTTTTCTGCACCCAAACTTCAGCCAGTGACGCCCTGTCCATTCTAAAGCGTTTATAAGATTGGCCCCAGCACCCGATTTTATATGAGGAAGTCGTTTAAAAAGCATCATATTTCTAACGAATTTATTATTATGGCCACTTTTACAGGACGTCTATAGAGCTTTGACTTTTACATTTCTTCCTCGTTCAGGAGAAACGTTTTAACCCTCACCGGACCTTCAGGTTTTCTGAATAGGGTAGACCGGGGCAAGTCGCCCCGCCGAGGTAAAACGCCTAACCGATGTTTCTCGGAACTGGCAAGGATCTGGGGAAATATTCTCTCTTCTATAAAACGTGCACTATATGATCATTATATGACCAGACTGGAAATAAATTGTGATGACTCCTTAGGGAGATATAGCCAAAAATGTGTTTTTGGAGTGATTTTTATGTTTTGTTGTCAGGTTATGCATCATGGCGTTCTTTTATGGTCCACATCAGGTTAACGACTTTTATGTATTTTGAACAACTATTATCGAAGGCTTATAATGCCGGGTTGGTTCGTGTTAAATTATGTCTTGCTGGAGTGCAAGGCGTTGTTTTCTGACCGAACTACGTGATGGGGTAAAACGCCCCAGTAGGTCGCGGGGCAAAAAGCCCCATGGGGCGTTTTGCCTCATGTGTTGTTCGTACTACCCACTTCCTAATGTTCGGTAGCTGGCAAACAGTAAGTTTCTATGCATTTATGTGTAGTTTTCTCAGCAACCGGATGGCAAAGGACGTATTTGGTTGACAGTTGCATGGCAATAATTTATTATTTGGCCTGATGAGGCAGGTGAAAAACCTGCTCATACAATAGTGTCATAGCTGAACACCTGATAGGATGGAAGGTGCTAACTTCAGTGCCGTGCCTCCCAAGGTCTAACGGACCTCTCATATAAGATTTGGTCAACTAGAATGTTTAATCTTTAATCTAGAGTATGGGGCTTCTTGCCCCGGGCCGTGGGGCGTTTTGCCCTGGGGTTGGGGCAAAATGCCCCATTTGCAGTTGTTTCACAAATCACTTCATAGCTGGGAGTCCGATCATAAGTGAATGAATTTGAGGGGTGGAATTTAAAGTAAAATGTCCAAAGAACGCATTGAGCACAAATTTGGCCTTTCAGGTGATGTAGGACAAAAGTTATGTAGCAAAATAAATTATCTGGGGCGTCTTGCCCCAGGCTACCCTACCGAGGGGACGTTGGGGGTTGGAAGTGAGGAAACAACCCCCTTCGCCGATTCGCCCCTAATTGAGCTAGACCCTCACGAAAGAAACGATCGTGTGCGTCGTTACGAAATGCAGCGATTGGTCTCCGATTTAAGGACCAGGGTCAGCCGATGACTTCGGAGGTCAGGTCAAGTGGCCCAAGGCACAGGTTCGGTTTTTGGTAAATAACTTCGCTAAAAATGATCGCAGATCCGCGATTTTAGCAGCATCGTGTTTGTCTAGCTCAGGCGTGTCGAATGGTATACTTTTTCTTCGGGTGAGATCAACTTAACCCTCGCCCGTATAGAGGGGGGGGGGGTCGAACGGACCCCCCTCCCTCGGTTTTTCACAAATAACTCGCGTAAAAAGCGGCCGATCGCGACGAAACTTTCAGTACCCTCGCGTTAATCAATTTTACACCCACCCTGAAATTGTCATGACCCTGACCTTAATGACCTTTGACCTGCGACCTACTTTTCGAGACCATGTTTGGCCGGAATCGCGATTCGGCGTATGTCGGCTCGCATTATCGGCGCGTTTGCAGTCTTTTCGTGGTTTTAAGCGTTCAAACATGGGATATGATGTTGCTTCCATGCATTAGGGTGGGTGTCAAGGTCACCGGAAAGTCAGGTCAGGTCATTGACCTTTGATGACCTCGGTCCACTTTTTCGAGTTTTACATGTTTCTAGGCCAGTTTTAGGAGCTGAATTCGAATTTAGCAGCCATATGAACATTGACGAAGTAGTTTTGGTGCCCTCGCAACATGTTGCGAAGCTGTCAGAGGCGGTTGCCACCTACTACGAATACCCTTACTGGTTGACCTGACCTGACCTGACCCGACCTGGCCTAAATGCATGAAGACATCATCTGTGATCAAAACTAACATGATATTCGTGATCAGCACCCCGAAAACCCCATAGCAGCCACGTTTTACGACTTTCTAACAGGTCCCGATTTTCCCGACTTTTGGGTCATTGACCTGACCTGGAAAGTCAACCGATGACCTAGGACCTCAAAATTGGGTATCATCGACTTCCTCTCGTCACGGCCAACACGCTCGTTTTTTCCGCGAAGCTCTAGCTCGATCAGGGGCGAAACGGCAAGGGGGGGGTCCAACGGACCCCGCCCCCCTTATACGTTTGCGGCTGGAAAAACACCAATACGGGCGAGAGTTAAGGTGTTAACCTCGGGTCAAGGTCAGGTCACAGCCCGTCAGGTCACGAAGCTGGTCAAAGGAGATGATATTGCATATCAATCGATTCGGCAGGTCTTTTCATGTCCATTAGTGGCTTTATCGACTCGGTAGCTTTAGTTGATCGGGAGTTATTGACGAAAAACTGATAGCCTTAGTTACGTGATAAATGACGTCACGCAAGATCAACAAAGCAAAATTGAAGCATCAGACCTTGCAAGGAGCGCATGAAATCACGATTCCGTGTGCTTGAGAATTTGAGATAGTTGTATATCATTTCCGGACCAAACCCCATACTTATCGTATGATAAAGAACGTCAGTGTTAGAAAGTTAATTAACAATTTTATTTAGGATAGTTTAATTCAAGTGGGTATAATCCGACTTGACAATTTACTAGGAGGGTTTTGCAGCGCTATTAGTTCGGCATTTAATTATAAATCATTGCTAATTTCGATCCGGATATCGTTATTCAATGCTGGCCTTTGCGTCCTCAGAAAGTTGTTTATAGTCATGAAGGCTTGCATTGACCCATACTTTCCATTTTTCAGCACTATTATTCGCCGTAGTTGACCAGGTGTTTTTCTTCAGCTCTCCCCTGAATCCTTTGGCTTGGACCTGGCGTATCACCCGTGCATCGCAAGACGCACCTACCACACACAAATTCATGATCCCCACGAACCCACATCAGCGTCCGTTCGCTTGGTGTGTGACGGGACCCCTTGACCTTTGGCCGCGACAACTGCCAGCTTGCTGGAGCACCCCTCCCTACACGCGCTGCCCCGCCCGCTCCCCTCCCTCACCCCCGCGGGGTCGTGTCACGAAGGTTCGGGCTTACGCTACTACCGGCCGCTGCGCAGCTGTCACCTAGCGCTTGGGAATGTGTGGTCTGGTGCGGATTCAGCCAACTACCGGCTCGCGACACCAGCGCCACGTAGTGGCGACGGTACATTCTTTTTAGACACACTGTACGGCGGTGAGCCGGCCACCAGGGTGACGGGGGGGGGGCGAAAATACGGTAAGTAGTGCGGCATGTACGGCGGCGAGCCGGCCACCAGACTGGGGGACAAAGAAGGTAATTAATACGGTCAGTAGTGGGACATGTAGGGCGGCGAGCCGGCCACCAGACTGACGGGACAGAGGAGGTGAATTAATACGGTCGGTAGTAGGGCATGTAAGGCGGTGAGCCGGCCACCAAACTGAGGGGGGGGGGGATGGCGGAAATACAATCAGTAGTAGGGCATGTACGGCGGTGAGCCGGCCAGCAGGCTGATGGGGGGGGGGATATACGGTTAGAAGTGGGGCATGTGCGGCGGTGAGCCAGCCACCAAGCTACGGACGGGGGGGGGGGGGGGCGGAAATACGATCAGTAGTGGGGTATGCAGGGCGGCGAGTCAGGAGAGAATACGGTCAGACATGGGGTAGAGACAGGGATAAAAACTGGACAAGAAGTCGAAGGATTGCGACTTGTGAAGGGACCATGAAGTTGGATGGTTGAGACTGAGGAAGGAGTAAGACATCGACATTACACAGTCAGTCGAATATAGGGGGAATATAGGGGTTGATACAGGGGGATGGGCAGGGGAGTCTGACCACACCGTCTCATCTTAACGACGTTTGATAATGGGAGAGGTGCCAAGACGACCGGTCACGGGTTCGATACTGAGAGAGGTGTCTGATCATCATTCAGGGTCGAGAGACTCGAGAACGGGAGAAGGTTCGATACATTCAATAATGGATACTGACGGAGAGGTCAGGCAGTCGGTCACGGTGGTCGGACCACAGAGGCCATACCGTCACGGATGCGCCGCGGGTCAAAGGGTTCACGGGAACCAGTCAGGTAGATACCGTGCTGTAGTAGTTAGTTGTATAATGAAGTTAGCGTTGAGAAGAGACAGCTGGCCTTCGAACAGTACCGGTAATACATTACAAACTCGGAGGATAAGTTAATGCAGATCGGGTGGTGAGTTCTCCGGGGTCATGCGGGAGCATTCGAACAGGGTCGTTGGTACACGTGACGGAGTTGGAACCATCTCGAAAGACAGGCACTTTGACATACCGAGGGAAGGGTCAGATCAGGTATCAAGCAGGGTCAAAACGGATCGCAAATGGAGGCAAGGCAGCTGGCCATCCTGACATGTAAAACAGACCACACGTCCAGCTCGCATCTTATGTGAGTTCATTAGGGTACATGGCGTCTGGGCAGGCACAACGGAATCGTTGTCCGCCTATTACCTATCTCACAGGAGCGTGTTAGATCAACCAAATATGGATGACACTACAAAGAATCAAACACCTTAGGAAACCACCCACCAGGATATTGTTGGCACACCTCACATCAATGGCCCTTATCCCTCCCACCTGGCTCAATTCATTAACCCTCGCACGACCAGGCCATTTCTCATAACACGAACGACCAGGGGGGGGGGGGTTGTTACGACCCCCCCCTTGCGTTTCGAAACGGAAGGTCGTAGAGCTTAGCGGAAAAAAAACCAACGGATTGCTTTCAACGAGATCTCGCGATTGGTGGTATATTTTTTGGTCCTAGGTCAACATTTGACCTACTTATGACCGGTCAAAGGTCAAATTTTCCGAAAAAATCAAACTTTTTCAACTTTCCGCGGCGATTGCGGCAGAACGATGGGAGATATCGACTTGAAACCTTCACTATCGTGTTCCTTGATCAATTCTCTATCGTTTGGTATGTATTTCGTTTCCCTAGCTCTAAAAATGGCGCGTTGGGAGCGCCGGAAGTCGGCAAGGTCACAGTCGGCGGCAGAAATTCGAAAAATCAAAATTTAAATTTTTGAAATCTGATTGTATTTTTGGATTTGGGAGGTCCATTTGCTCCCTATAGAAGCTAATATTGCTGCATATTCCCATTGAGGTGACAAGAATTAGCAAAATAGTGGTTCGGGCGCTTTTCAAAAATATACCGGACGCTGTTCCTCTTGTGACGTCATAGCTCCGTGACCTGACCTGACCCGGTCAATTTTCTTGCACCACACGATAGCCAATGCTTGCCCCAACATGCATGGGAAGTTTCATCATGATCCATCAAACAATGTGGGTATCACCGGCAGAAAACCTAGGGATTCGGCGCACACGTTTGGTAACTGTCGGCCGGAGGCTGTACCTCTTATGACGTCATAACTCAGTGACCTGACATGACCCGATCAATTTTTTTCGGCAAAAGATGCGCAAAGGTTGCCCCAGAGGGTATTGAAAATTTCAGCCCGCTACGACAAGCCGTTTAGCGTGCACTTCGAAAAAACCTCAGGGGGGGGGGTTGATACAACCCCCCCAGGCGTTCTAGGGTTAAACTCATTCATTCATCTCAAACACCTGCAAAATACCCCCTTCGGCTCCCATGCAACATCCCAATCCCACTCCAACATGCCTCATCTAGTCCTGTTCATCTCATTCATCCATCTACATAGTACATCAGCTATCAACCATCCCACACCACCACCGCACCCACCCTCCTCTCCCGCTCTCACTCACCCCGAGTTGGAGACGGCCGAGCAGGTGCTCACCACATGGAACGGGTAGGTGAGCGCCGAGCCGATGTACTGGAACACACAGCAGTACGACTACCATCAGCGCAGTCAGGGGCCGTCCCACCGGACGGGCACAGAGCGCCGGGTTAGTACTTAGTACCGCGACCGGCCCCTGAGCTCAAAGCGCAGCCGCCGGCACAGCACTATGGTACAGGCTGGTGTGGAGAACATGTACAGATAGATACATACAGTGGCGTAACGGCCGGTGACAAGGCTATGAACACATCGAGCTGAAAGCTTCCAAAAGCTCTTGATACCTTATGGTACAATTATAAGCACACGAAAGTGATAAACTTCACATATTTGATTTAAAGTACAGACACTAAGATCATACTTTTTAGCCATATTCTGCGAAGTATGAACACAACGAAATAAAAGGCCGCCATACCACACCACCACCCAAAAACATCACACAGTTCATATACCGAGGTACCAAGCAATAAGGTAAACAGCCATTCACAGCAGCTTTACAATACGAAAGAAGTCCTAACATTAAATACATTCTTTCGCAACATTTCAGGTTTCTCAGAATAAAATGGCATAGGTACACACTACACAAACATTAAACAAGCATTGTGAGACCGTTGCATAACTGAGCCACGCTGTAAAAGAACACATTCAAACCAAAATGGGCAGTGGGCACTGGGTAGTGGGCATATTCCTAATGTTCTGTACAAAGTGTAGTCAAAATCCTAGTCGTCTTGGGCAAACACCCAGCCTAAAAGTAGACTGGTGAAGTACTTCTCCGTTTCAGTGTAACTCTACAAACCCCTGTGGGATGTGGGTCCCCTGTGATCACTATAGGAGCCCCAACCCCCTGGAACGTCTGCTTCTCTCTGTGAGCCCCCGTACCATAACCGCCAGCCCCTGCTCCACAGGCACCCATGTCGCCACTGGACGTGATGCCATCATCCCAGACCGCACGCGCGTCCCATCTAGTGCGTGGGTGTCACAAGGGTAACTACCGCCGCTCCTGGAGGCACGAGCGGACGCAAACGAACCGTCCCCTCGGGACCATAGAGACGCGTCGTGTTCTGTAGGACGACTTTCTGCTAACGACTGACAGCCAGTGGCGCAGGCAGCGGCGGAGCGGAACGGTGGAACGTGGGTGGGTCGGCGTCCGCTCCGGACAGGAATGGGTAGTTGTTGGAAGGGGATGACTAGCTCGGGTAACTAGAAATGGAACCTAGAGCGACGTCACGTATCCAGGGACAAGGGTTGCTGTCCACTGGCGGCTGACAAATTTTTCGTGGACTACCCAGGTTGGCAGATTATATCCATTCGTAAACGAACTGAGCTGCCAGATATGCTTTCACAAGCGACTCGGATTTTCAAGTATCGTTCATCATAAAAGACCGCGTTGTCAGAAACGGTCCAAAAAGCGTCCTGGACATTGACGTGCGCAGAGCGATGACGGGGGATATAATATCACGCCGGCGAATGAATTATCCCTTTACCACCCCTGGCTGTACTGGACCGCTCATCTCACGCCAACAACGCAGAGCTATCACCGTCACCGAAACCAGGGAACATTACAGGCGAGGATATCTCGCAGTCTCACGTTTGGACGGTCTGCCAGCGCCCGTAACGCCCTTCAGTGGCGGTGGAATCAACACGTTCCAAGGACGGAAGGCGATATCCGCCACCCTGACGCCAACACACCACAAGTTCGGCGGCCTAAGTGGAAACACTGAAGATGATGCAACTTTAAATTGGCTAAACTTGTACGGAAGAAGGCGATTGCCTCGAGACCTACGCCGATAACTTTTAATTCAATATAATCATAGGGCTGGGGGCTGTATCGTTTTGGAGAAAAAGATTCACCAAAGGTAGACATACAGATCACCAAGGAGGTGCATATGCTTTTAATGGCCTTAAATCAAGGAGCTCACCAATCACCACCATTACCAGCTCCCATACAGATCACCAAGGAGCCTTAAATTAAGGCTGGCAGCTAAATGCATCAAATTATGTTACCCACAGCTGGAACAGGAGATGACAATTGCTTTGTGATTGTCATCGGTTGCACCGTGTACCTTATACATTTACTTTGCAACTATTACAGCGAATATCTAGTAAAGAAGACTGGGTTTCCATCTAAAACTTGCTTAAGTGAAGGATTGTCTACAGTGCGATACTTATGAGTCAGGAGCTACCAAAGCCGATCAAAGTCATGCACAACTACGATAACCAAATCAACAGCCCAACGGAACCCGCCAATCCAAATGAATCGATAGCTAGAACTACCGGCGTACCTATACCAACTACCCTGACGACTATGATGAACACATCACTAATGCAGCACACACCTATAGGTACCCAAATACAGATTGAGACCGCAAGACCCCAAATTAGTGGGAAAAACTGGAGTTGGGAAAAATGGTACAACCCCGTATAGTTAAGACCTAAGACACTGGGTAGTCCAACACCACATACAACACCACTGCTGCAACACCTCTGCCCATTCACCACCGATAAACTATGCTAAAAGAAAACTCTAGGACGTCCGTAAAAAACTACGGAGCAGGATACTATTTTGAAAGTAGTCACCACGATTTTAATTTGATGCACACCAACTGCGCTAGGTACTAGGTAGTAAATTAGGCCGATAGCAAACAGTTATTTAGGCGACAGCGAAGCAGCAGTCCACGCAGATAAAAATCCAGCCACAGCATGTAGCCCAAATTACATTAGTCATGCTCCAGCAAACAAACAGCCGAAAATATGTGCTAACTAGGAACTACGCTAACTACAACATAGCAGACATGCTAAACACACATAAAATGTATGACCCATGAGTGGACCATGACACGCTGACATGCAAATGCTTTCCAAATACAATCATGCACAGCCAGAGGATAAGGTTACAGCTACGGTAAAACACCGCATTCGCCCCAGCTGCTAGCGGTCGACACAAAGACCTGCAAGCGAATTCAAGCAAACCACAGCCTGATATTTCAAGGGGAAATCAAGCCACCGAGATGTGCACAGGCACGGTTTATGTTTTTTCTTTTTCTTTTTTGGTGGACAGTTTGGGGACAGCAGCGAAATGAACAGTATCCATATGTCGTATTAAAAAGGGAGCCGGTGCTATAGCTGATATCTGGGCTTCCTATCTAAGAAGGTCTTTAACATTAATTTCCAGCTAATGGCTAATTGTAGACGAGTTGTTGGCTTATTTGTTATAAGTATAACGCTGCATTCAATATTAACGCTATAGCTGGGGATACTTTGGAATTAAGTACTTCGGCAGCACTAAAACCACCATTAAGAGCACTTTGAAAGACCCTGGGAATCGACTTATGAAAAAGTGCTCTCCTGTTGCCACTCTCAGCTAGTGTGCTTATTGCGGCTGTAGGGCGCGCCGACGGGAGTAGTCATTTTGCGCCCATTTACCTGGTGTCTGGCTATTATACTGAACCACTCTAACAGCTGTACTGTAAAGTACATAGGTATTTCTTAACTGCTTAACTTTACTGAATCCATCAGTAACAATAGGATGCACAAATGGCCCAAAACTCCTGCATCAAAACACTCTTATCGACACTAACAATTCACCCTTGATTCAACTTAGAATAATGACTAACCACCATGCTATCAAGCACAATACCTCCCTCCCCAGCACAGTAAACACTACACAGTGCAACTGCACACCCCTACAAGCTCTATGCACAGCCCCTGCAGAGGCCGCCAGCGGCGGGTCGCTACATACAGCCATCGTCGATCCGGTGTACGTCTTCAGCTCCTTGTCCTCCACGACGTAGTTGTTGACGACGTAGGTCAGCGAGGCGACCAGCAGCGCCGACAGCAGGTCGCCGAGCAGGCGCGGCACCAGGCCGGCGAAGAAGCCCAGGATGCCGTTCTCCTGGTAGATGGAACGCATCGAGGAGAGAATGCCACTGGGGAGGAAGAGGGGAGAATCGTTCAGACGACTAACGCTGTCATGTAATCGGAATACCGTGTTTTCGTCACACTCGTACTCTTTTATTTAAGGTGCTTCATAAGGAGCGTGGTTCGTAGCGATTCCAAAATAACTATGCCGTGAAACAGGGCTAAATATAGACGCAGAAGAGCACTCCTGAAAATCTGGATGGGTGGATACATTGATACAATTACACAGGATAGGAGGAAACGAAAACATTCAGCCGGCAGCCACATAGTCATTCACAATTCAGATTCATATCGATCATCTGCAGCGATAGCTGCTCCCATGAGTTGTGAACAGATGCATACGGATTTCATTCATAGCCAACAAACACATAGCGACTTTTTGTTTGTGTTTTGCACGTCATGCTAGTTCGGAGCGGGACAACGCAATGAGTTGATTGATGTGCAGTGCAAATGAGCAGATTTATATTCCACGCCGACTAACTATCAACGAGCATCAAACAACCGCATATGTATGACCTACAGATAACATGTGTTACAAGTTGTCAATCATCAGCCATGCAAACAAGCCTGGCTCCAGAGACAAAACCAATCCAGTACTGTCCCTGCTGTCCGGCGCCAAACACATAACCCACATTGTGTCTTCTACCATAAGTTGAGCGCCCACTGGCTACCAAGTACCAGATGTGCCGGCCACTGAGATCAGACCATGCCGCGTTCAATAGCTACTTGCTGGATCTCCTGACCTGACCGGGGCCAGAAGCTAGATCTCCAGGCCTGACCGAGACACACACGGAGCTACCTTTGCTTTCTTTCTTCATCTTTCTTCACATGGCCAAGGCACACGGAGCAGCCTGTGCTAGACCTCTTAAACCGCTCACCTCCCATTGACCAAGTCACCTACCTGTGTTGCGTCTCCTGACCGATGAACTGGGCGATGCAGCGAATCTTCACCACAGTCAGGGGGTGGGTGAGGATGATGCAGGTCAGCCGCCCGCCCAGGTCACGCAGAGTGGCCATCATGAACAGCTTCCTCAGCTCGTCCTCGGTCAGATCTTCCTCGCGCTTCCTCCGCAGACGGTCCTCCTCCTGTGGAGAGCAGAGGAACGGTGAGAAATTGCGCATGATATATGACACATGAGGGGAGTGAGGCGAGAGACGGCTTGGGACAAAATAGGAAACCGATAGTGGAATATCAAGAAATGACCAGAAAAAATACGACTTTTAACGGATGACTCGGTAAGTCAGTAACTGTACGTTCTGTTATCGTCCCTTCGGCAATCATTTCCAGATTAGTTCGGTCCATGCTTTTTCGGATCATTATTCATTTTATTCCGTGAAATTTTGAAATACTGAGCACATGTTAGCTCCAAAAACGGGGTAGGTAGATAACTGTTAACACGTAATGGTGCTCGTCTATCAATCATTATGTACCAAAGCAAACTGTTGACTAAAGTATAGCTGTCATCATGATTATACATCGCTGACATAAATTCTGCCGAGAACCCGTCACGTAATCGATGTCATAGACCCATATGGAGCTCCTGCTAAACGTAACGCCAATCTCAGAAGCGCACTCGAGTACAGCCCCCTAAGTTAGCTGTGCACACATTGAACAAGATATCGCAAACACTCCACGCTATATCCAGGTGCCGTATCTACAGCAACCCGACTGCATTATACCACCACGTGGTTCCGAAAGCGTGCCAATAATATACAACAACGTGACATAAGCTACAACGGAACTCCGAGCAGCTGCGTGACAAAACGCCCAGTCAGCATGACAATGAATTTTGGGTGTGAGTCATACGCTGAAGGCAGTCACAACCATGCTAATACTTCTCGGCCTTGAGAACTGAGACGGGGGGGGGGGGGGGTGGAAGAGTTGATGACGTCATACTAAATTCGCGGAATACCGGAGCTGGTGTCTGCGGGTGCTCGGTGTTTCATGGCGAGTAGCATCGGCTGCTTAGAAGAGTCGGTGATGTCATCAAGGTCAACGACCGCGACAATGAATGGGCAAATGTGCCCGCTATCTCTCGCTACGTGTGTTTACTGGTTAGCGTCACTTCATGTGAAAACCATTTATAGGAGCAGGAAAACAAACGATGGCGGGCTTCGTTAAGAAACCAGACATGCGGGAACATGTACGCCGTCGCTTCGGAACGGGTTAAACACGTTGGCACTTGGCAGCTAATAAAATAACGCAGCGTCATGCTACAGATTGTCAACATGAAAAGAAATACCTTCAACACTATCTCTATGCATATGTAGACCGCTATATTTCCAGCAAGTTTCCAGAATATATAGTGGTATGTGGCGTGCTCTATAATATGCGAGAGCAGAGAAACGTGGAGTTCAACACGACACATTGTAGCTAAATTTTCGGCCCGTCCATTTTCCTCTCACCCTTTATCTCTGTGACCTGACCTTGTTTGTTAATTGGGGCTTTAGGGCACGCCGACTACTAAGGTCATTTTGCGCCCATGTGACCTGACCTTAAATGTGAAGCGACTAGTAACCTGGTGGAAGGAGGTACAGCAAGAGGTTTCCTCCCTCCTCCCTTTGACCTCCTTGTCTCCCTCTCTGTGACCTGACCTTGAATGTGATCCGGCTGGTGACCTGGTGGAAGGTGCAGCCGGAAACCAGCTGGCACACGATCCGGGATGTGCTGCCGCGGTACAGACCCCAGAAGCCGTCCCGCTTCCTCATGTAGTTCACTGGGGAAGAATACAAGACAAGGGATGCGATGTGTGTAGTACCACCGCGAGGCAGCCTTAGCCGTGAGGTATTCATAAAGACAACGGTACTGAAGACTTCCCGCGGAGAAAACAATGCGACAAAACACTAACAAAAAAAAAAAAAACAAGGCGAGAGCAGGCCATGGAAGATGAAGGGTGAAGAAGCGAATTCCCGTTTCGGGCTTGGATCAAGAGAAGGTACGAAAATAATTTACATGGGAAATCACGTTGCAATTTGACTATGTACTGATCTGGATAGCACAGACGGGTCCTGTAAGGCTCCTATGGAAAGGTGGCTACAAAAAAAAATGAAAGTCAAACTTAATCACAATGGGCAGTGGTCATAAAAATCGCACACCTAATCTAATAAGTCGCATATCTAAGTATTTCCATGGGTTGCGATTTTAGGACCTAGGGTATTTCTACTTACTGTATTTGAAGACATTGGGCAGTCCCAGCACCGGCCGACCGAACAGGGTCTTGGTCGGGGTGGGCGGCAGCGGCTCGAACCCGATCTGTGAATACCGCCAGAAATTACTCAGTCGCCAAGCCAGAGCGTTCCGTACGAGGTAGATGACTGTCAAATATGCCCATGTAAAGACCGGGAAGATGAGACGGGGCGGGGGAGTACCGAAACATGCCATGATATACATATGTGCCAAGACGCGTTCAGGTTAAATCCGAGATATGCACGATAATAGCTGAGGCTGAAGGAAAACCAGAAAGAAAATCATATTAGCGCCAGTGTCACAATGGCGAAAAACGAACGAATGACGAAAAATAACGGATACAAATGCTTGAATATTTCAGGTTACAATAAAAGTGTAATGAGCACTGAGCAGCTTGTATAGCTCCAGGTTTGCCATCTCAGCTATAATTTAGAATCCCACGCCGGTTTCCGACCGTGGGCCAAAATAAACAGCGCAGGGACATCAATTTCGCTGTCACATCTAGCCAAGGTTCTATTCACGCCCCACACCATGTCAATGTGTGCGTGACCACCCTGTGGTTGATAAGTTTCTAGAAGCTGTTGCCAACAGGTCCTGTGCTGGCTCGTAGCTACCCATTCAAAACAGTTTTAGTTAGTGGTTTATAATATCGTAGCGCCGCTATATCATAATAATGTGGCTTGGTACGTTAAAAACAACGTGTCGTCGATTGACCCGGTTGGCAATGGAAGATTGGCGTATACGGAGCAACGTCTTAACTGAGTATAAAGAGCGGTGGTACTGTGTTACATCAGCGGGATTAATTTTCCCTCGTCATGACTCGACAAAATACTAAGCCATATAATACCAGACATTCCCGTTAAGTACCAAATTTCCTGCCAGCGCGTTTTTCTCTACCCCGCTGTCTGCTCCAATTCACAAACCCCAGCCCATCCCATCCCATCCCTGCCCATTCCGCTTTTCTATCCCTGCTGTCTGCACACTCCATTCACAAACCCCAGCCCATTCCACGGTCCTTCAGTCGCACCTGCATCAGCAGCTTGGCGTTGTCGATGGGGCTGAGGGCGACGTTGAGGCCCAGCTTGACGGCCATCTGGTAGCAGATGTGCTCGTTGGCCTCGTCATAGTGATGGTTGGCCATTGGAGCGGTGCCGGCGGCGGCGGAGGGATCCTCGGGCCCCGGCTGATTCGGCATGTAGCTCGGCCGAGGGTGATCCTGGCGACACGCAGAAAGGTTAAGTTAGTGCTAGTCAGTTGATCAAAAACATGGATAACAAAGCAAGGTTCACTAGTTTCGTTTATCTTGAATAAAGTGATGTTTGACCAGTTCGTGGATTACAGCATGGTGGCTTTATCAGTAATCAGAGAAGCGGCACTCAACTAACGGTAGCTCACAAATCAGTACAGTAACCAGACAAGCGGCACTAACTAACTATTAACTAACTCGATACAGTCAGGTACAGTTCAGGTGCCAAGGAAGAACAATATTAGTGCAGTTGCACGTCAGGTATGCAGCAACATATACTAGTTGTCGTATGACAGTCCCCCATGAGAACCAGCGCACCTGGTCGGGCTACCTCAGATTCGCTCGGCGTATCTCACCAGGGCTGCAAACGGCTGGGACCGGGCCGGACGGGGACAGACCCGAACTAACCACAGAGACGCCACGCACAGCACTGACAGCGCTTCACCAGACACTCGGCAATCCTCCCCCGTCCCCACCCCCCACAGCGTCTCGGTCACCCAGCACCGGCCACCGGCCTTTCCGGGAACCCGATCCGGCGAGGGAGGGGAAGTGCCCCCCCCTCCTACCCCCACCCACGCCTGGCGAGGGCGACTCAACGCGCTCGCGTCACCGATGGCCCCGCCCACTTTGAGAGACGTCATCATGGCTCAGCAATGCCGGTACCGGGAAACGCGAATCGAAAGGGGCCGAGACGAATCATGTGGGCGTCCTTACAACATTCGTATCAAAATTACACAATCGCTACATCATTTCATGTAGGATATACAAATCAAAATGGATCAGCGGTATGCATATCGAAGGATCACATCTTGCACTTACACGTCAAAGCTAACGACTCAAGTTAGACGGCAATCACCTGAACAGAGCCAGCATGGAAACCAAAAACAAGCCACTGTTAATAAGTTCATGTCCACCTTTGGGCTTAAAAACTTCGACATAACTAAAACCATTGACGACAGTGTAGCTGAAAATGTAACTTTGTTAGTGCTAGTTCGATTGCCCTTGGATATACCCATGAGTTTCCTCTTAGAGAAGATGGAGCAAACGATAACTCATGGTGAAAGATACACACAAAACAAATCGGATATACCGGAAAGTTGTAATACGAGAACAAAACAAAATTTAGGATCAAATAAAACTAAGGTTGTTGAAATTTTACAAAGTTATCATGATGAACAATACAATGAATCAATACAATGAACAACGACGAACTCAATAGGCGGTCTCGGGCCACGAATATTAGCATACCTAATTAAAGGAAATAAATCACTTTTAACATGGGGTTTGAACTGGAATAGCAGTTTTGTAGCTTGAGCTGAGCCTAGCATAAATCAGAGGCTTTTACGGCCCAACGATCACCCTAGACGAAGATATTCCATTTCTCGTTTCGAAAAGAGTGCCTCGCAGAGGAATGCGTGCCTTGCAGAGGAATGCAGCCACGTCATCGTCAGCCAATCAGCAAGCTGCTTACAGCCAATGGGTTTAAACTACGCAATATGATAAAAGCTTCCTCGTCAAACATTATTTTACATGGAATATATATCTTCCTATATCAAGATAACTCGGCTTTATCGGAGAGTTTCGTGGTCGCCACTGCAATTCGCGACCAGCGAATTGCCACCGCAATTCGCTGAAGCTGTGGCAATAAAGACCACGAAACTGTCCGATAAAGCCGAGTTATCTTGATTTTTAACTAATTAACGAGCCGAGCACGGTTCCTATATCAAAATAAAGAAAAAATTATAAAAAGTTTCTTTGCTGATCGTTTTAAGCATAAAAAGAAGTCATAAATCCATTGCAAAAAAAAAACACTACTTTCGAGAAAGTGAACGGTAAGCTTTAATAAGAAAACGGTAAGCTTTCAGGACGGACATCGATTGACTGCAGCGCGGAAATGAGTCGAGCCGAAGTTAGAGACTGAAATAAGCAAAGATGGAAAGCCAAAGATTGAAAAGGACAGGACAGGTCTAACTACAAGGCAGAACTACAAATACTTATTCACATCTGGGGTATTGCAGACAAGGCATTGCGGAGCAAAGCAGGCGGGAAACCACACAGCGGACCAGGACATCCAATTCTTGACCGAAGAAACATCCATGGTTTCCGTCACTTTTGCTGTCGAGAGCCGACCACCCAACCGCCGCGCACACTGACCGCTCGACTGCCGGGTCAGCTGACCGCGACCCGCGCGGCGCCCGGTCACCGGTCAAGGTCATGCCCCGGGGGCGGATGGCGCTCGGTGGGCCCGGGTCAGCGCGAGGCGCCGGTCACGACTCGGCCTCAGGCGCCGGTCGCGGCTCGGCCTATGGCGCCTGGGTTACCGAAAAGAACGCGACGGAGGGTCAGGGTGGTCCCACGTCAAGAGTCCAGATTGACTGATGCGTCGTTGAATAACCAGGAAAACAACAAACGACGGAGGGTGGGCGGAGGGGTGTGGCGGCTGGGACTGATTGACGTAGATTAGCTGAACGAAATGAAGCAGTGATTTTTGTTTTGTTGGGTTAGACCCTTTCGGTCCGACGAGACCATCTCAGGACCGGAAGGATAATAGGAATTAGGGGAAGAGATTGGTCTGGGCGAGCACCCTGGTAAGTCGCCGGGACTGAGCTTGTGCTCTAACGGGCATTCCCGCATGATATAGTTGCCCTCCAGCCCGGCACAAGGGATTGGGATTTGAGCCTGAGGTATGGAGGAGAAATATTTGAATGACATGATGATGGAACCGACGGAACGGCGAAACAGTGATATTTAAAGCTCTCTTTGTAGCTGATGCGAAACGGTTTGGCTTTCGTTTGGCTGATGAATCACATTTGTGTATTAGTATTTGTGTAAAATGGCAAAATGATATTTTGAAACCCCTTGTTTTCATTGTTGTAGTGCTTTTATACTTTTTAATTGGTTTTACCTGTTGCTTCATTTTTTGTATTCTTGACATTTAAAAATTGTGAATTGTTATCAAATATAGTGAAGGTAAAGTACAACAACACTATAGGGATCTGTTGTAGTGCTGAGGATACCACTAAATGAGAGTGATAGCAAGATAAATGCTGTATTCCTGCAAGCCATTGTTGCCTATCTGTTAACATTACTTGTGAATCAAATAATGATTAGCCAGCTGAGTGTGGAATCAATATTTTCATTATCTGTTCAAAGTAAATCAATTTATTGATTGCCTTTCACTACCCTTCAGAATTCAGATTAATATGAATAAAGCAATATTATTATGCTCAGTAGAGAGTGCCAACATTTATGTTCAACATTCGGCATGTTCCTTGTTGAAACACTGGCTAATTCTTACATGATTAGTGATTAACCCGCGCATGACTGGGGGCTCTACAGAGCCCCCCCCCCTCCCGTTTTTCAGCAATATCTTCTAAACCATTTGGCGGATCAACACGAAGCTTACGGTACCTTCAAAGGCATCAATTTGACACCTAGTGTCAAAACTTCAACTTTCTAACTACCATAGTTTGACCGGAAATGACGCCAGAGTGACGTCATGGCGGCCGATTTTCATGCAAAATACTGAATTACGGCAAACGCTCTCAAGAGCTCAGTTTTAAAGCTATATCCATTTTCTTTGCATGAGTGGACTACAAATACACGTAGCTATCAAACTGCTATCTTGAATTTTTGATATTTTGAAAATTTTGAAAAATATGTATTTACAATTACAAAAAAATATATATATTTTATTTTTTCAAAAAGTTTTTGACTTTCCGCAAAAACCGGAATATATGTGATAGAACACACACTGATGAACTACATTTGCAAGTTTTAGCCCAATGTCTTCAAAAATAGCCAAGTTATTCGCATTATTGTCAAAATTTTACAATTTTATGTTTTTTTTCAAATCCATTTTTCAGTACGTTTTTGACGTCGTACAGCAATATAAATGGCACCATCGTGTTCCTGAGCTCAAACTGCATCTGATATTTACCTTTTTTTGTTGAAAAATTTCATTTTCAAAATTTGACCTTTTCTGACCTGAAAGTGACCTGACCTCCGGTTAATTCAGCTGAAAATGACCTCAAATGACACAGACGACACTATTTTCGAAATCTACGAGTAAAATGGACCATAAAACATGCGTCACGTGACCGATACATGATATACAACTTTCGTGACCTACTGGCCTTGACCTTAACCCTATTCCTGGCGGGGGGGGGGCCTCAGGAGCCCCCCCCCCTGAGGTTTTTTGGTTATTTCTCCCAAACGCGTTGAGCTAGGAAGCTCAAATTTTCTGACTTTTCCTAAAAGGCTTCTACGCAACATGTCTGAAAATTTTGAGTTGATCTGACCTCAGGTCAGGTCACCAGAGGCGGTTTGGTGACCCTACCTCAGAAAAGTTTGCAATCACGCCAGAGCTAGAGTTTTTGACCGATCAATTTCTTCTCTTCAGGCTTTAGTTAGGGTACCAGTATGTGCAATTTGTATATCTCGGAATTTTGATATCGGTGACCTAAGGTCAGGTCAGTTTCGCGACCTCCCCATTATAAGTCAATGGGGGAAAAATCAACTCCCTGTTTTTACCACTAAAACGGGTCGGAATGGCCCCATATACCATACATTACTTCATATACGATCAACCTTCACTACCTTGAGGTCTGTTTTGCTGTTGGGCAGCTGTGAGGTCATGTGACGTCATCAAAGGTCACCAAAGGTTTTTGGCCAATAACTCCGTACAGGAACAAGATACAGACGCGTGGATGGTCTCATTGTGTTCAGCTCGTCAAGACGCATCGAATGATATACATGATGACCTCGAGGTCACGTGACCTGAGGTCAACCTTTGACCTTGACCTTGCGAGGTCAACATATATCATTCGATGCGGATTGACGAGAGGATCACGATGATGCCCTTAGTTTGTTCCTATCTTGACTAATTCGAAAGTTATTCGAGAAAAACTCTCTCCATATCTAGCGCCGCCATTTTGACTTTTTCGACCCCTGTGACGTCATCTTTGACCTGACCTGAAAATGACCTTAGTAAAAATTGTAGATCTTGACCGTGCGTATACGATGCCGTTTACCGCTTGTCGCTATCTTGCTTCGTTCTCGAGATCTCAGGGGGGGGGGGCCGAATCGGCCCCCCCCGCCAGTTTCTTGTCCCGGCGGAGCCCGCCAGGAATAGGGTTAAAAATTCGAAGTAAAAGTTCAGTACCCTCAGGGTATCTAAGGCATCCGTCAAGGAGTGCGGAAACCAAAAATGAGCGTGATCGGACCGGCCGTCCGGTGGTCAGAGCCTAAATTGTGAACTAGCGAAAATGTCGATAATTTTTACTTTGACCTGACCTGTGACGTCATCGGTGACCTCGAGGTCAATGAAAATAGGTTTCGCTCGACAGTTTTTCCAGGGCTATCAGACGCCGTTTCAATTTTGACGATCGGCCCAGTAGTTTCGGAGATAGGAGGGGGGCTCTGGAGAGCCCCCCCCCCCCAGTCACTCGCGTTATGGAAAATACCCCAGTCATGCGCGGGTTAAGAAATGGTCTACATTTATGCCCAAATATGGTCATGAAGAATCAATTTTTGATGCCTCTATTTTTTTATTCCAGAAGCCCAGTTTGCCCAACTGACTTCCTCATTTGTACTAGTAGGGTTCTAATGGCTAAAGTTGGGCCGTACTATTTTCTGGACAAATCGCCAGCTGGCGCCGTATGATGGCGCTAGCAGAGCATATTATATATCAATGCCAGGTACAAATAACTTAATATCTATCTTTTAATTTTTCTATGAGTGCCTTTTTACCATACGTGTTCATGTCCATCTCCCTCCGTGTTTATATTAATTAATAGCATAGCTATTGTACAGCCCACCGCTAAAGTAATCTAGGGTTTTACCAATCTCAACGGTTGGCTTTGACTGGCGATTGTTAACCCGCGCCCAGATGGGGTCTGCCGAGCAACGCGGTCTGATGGGGGGGGGGGGGGCCATTTTGGCCCCCCCCCCTCAGATCTCGAGAACCACGCAACATAGCGACAAGCGGTAAACGGTGTTGGATAGCCCCAACGGGGAACTACCTTGTGACCCAATTTCATTGACCTCGGTCAAACCGATGACGTCACAGGTCAGGTCAAAGGTCGAATTTTCACCGTTTACAGGCATTTCAAGAAATGCGTTGTAAAATCGTGTAAAATGCATTTCATTGAAAATCATCGATGGGGAAATGTTCTTCAAACACATATTTTGCTATTTGAAGTCACTGATACCAGGTCAGGTCACAGAGGTCAGGTCACTGGGGGGTCACAATATGAAAGTGTCATGTGATACATGTTTTATGGTCCATTTTACATGACAAATGCGATTATGTGGGTCAGACAGACTTTAGGGCCAGCTTAGGTCACGTTTTGGTCAAGGTCAGGTCAAGGTCAGGTCAAGGTCAGGTCAAATTAGGTCAAATTTCAAAGTTGATATTTTTGCATAAAATGGGTATCGATTCGATGCAGCTCGTCACGGGGAGTTCAATGGTGGTCTCCGTTTTGCGCTACGAGGTCTAGAATTGCTAAAAATTGAGTTCAAAAATTTGACGTCATCAATTTTTAACAGTTTTTTCGCTATAACTTGGCCAAAAAAAGAGGTATCGAGCTAAAATTTGGTATGTATATCGAAGAGCGCAGGGACTATCACATATATTCCGGTTTTTTCGAAATTCGAAAATTTTTTGGAAAATTTTTGAGTTTTTCTAAAAAAATCAATTTTTTTGATTTTTTTTAATCAAAATCCCAAAATTTTGAAAATCCGAGATAGCAGTTTTGTAGCCCCGTCTTTTGTCTACACAACCACATAAAGAACTTTAAAATTGCTTGTTAACTGTAGAATTGGTGAGCGTTTCAAGATGTCATGTTTTTTGCTCATTTTTACTCGAACATGACCTCAGTTTGACCTCAATAACTCCTGACCTGAGGTGACCTGTGACTTGAAATTTTGTGTGAAGGTGTCAAATTGATGCCCGGTAAGGTACCCAAAATTTGGCGGCGCTGCGCGCCGCCGTTTTCTCGCTATTTAAGAAAAACCACAGGGGGGGGCCAAAATGGCCCCCCCCCCATCAGGGCGCGGGTTAAATGCGGAGTGATCGAAAAGAAGATGTCAATAGCTAAAGTTGCAGCTGCAAGGGTGACGATACATATAAGCTACATTCAAAGTTTCATTGTAGTCTGGCTAATCGTTCCTAAGCTTCAGAAGCAGAACATACCCATGACTGAAACCCCACATTACTTCTGCTGTGGAC